CTTCATATTAAAACACACACACGGACGGAAAGTAAAGGGATGGTAAAAGGTATTTCATGATGGACCTAGAGGTTATTGTGCTGAGTGGAGTAAGTCAGAAAATCAAATGCCATATGATTTCACGTATATGTGGAATCTAAAGAAGAAAATAACTCACCCCCACACCAAACTCATAAATACAGAACATTTTGAGGGTTACCAAATGGGAGGGATATTGGGAGGGTCAATGAAAAGAGGGAATGGATTAAGAAGTACAAATTGGTAGTTACAAAATAGTCATGGAGATGTAAAGTCTAACATAAGGAATATATAGCCAATAATAACTACGTACGGTGTCAGAGGGGCACTAGATTTATTGTGGTGATCACTTGTGTTATATAGGTGTCTAATCACTATATTGTACACCGGAAACTAATATAATATTGTATGCCAACTATAACTGAAAAAGAAAAAAATGTTATTAATAGTGAAAAAATTTTTTTCTTTTGTTGGGATAGTTGTCAGTGTACTTAACTTTCACTGCATTGCTAAATTAGTCTTTCCTAATTAATTAAATCTCTTAGTATGTTCAGACAAATTCTACTAATTTAATTTTGTTAAAGGCATTTTTTTTTTTTTTCCAACCTATTTTATTTAGGACTGATTGCTGCCTTGGTCTGGTGCATAGCTTTTATTCTGGTAACAACCTTTATCATTATTAGGTGGCTTTATCTCCCCCTGACCTTTCTGGAAGCTTTTCAGTCTTATTAGTATTCTGAAATTTTATGTTGATGTTTCTTGATATAGTTCTTTTATCTACTTGATGGATATTTTTAATATGAAGAGTTATGTCTTTCATTTCACTGAAAACAGTTGAATTACTTCATTTCGCATATGTGTGGTTTTCTTAAACTCTTTTTATTTGGATTTGAACTTTTTTATCTTTCTGTATTCTGTGCCTCTCTTTTGTTTCTTTTTTACTTTTTAAAAATCTTCCAGAAAATTTCTTCTGCTTTATTTTCTAGCCCTTCTGTTGAAATTGAGGTTTTCATTTCGTGTGTGTGTGTGTGTGTGTGTGTGTTTAAGAAGAGCACATTCTTTAGCATCCTATTTTTGTTTCATGAATATAAGTTCTTTTAATTTCTCATTTTCTTTTTTTCTTCCAAATTGATTTTTCTGTTTGTTGTTTTGGTCTTTCACTTTTAAATTAGAGATTTTTTCATATATTTAAAAATCAATAGTAAAGCTGCTTAAATATTTTACAGGAAGATGAGACATCACTTGTGGCCTTTGCTATAGAACCTTGCCATGGTATTTTTTGGGGGAACCTCTGATGTCAGTATCTTTAGTCTTTTCTTTCTTCTGCTCAGATTCCATAGAGAAGGCTCTCCGAGTTAGCCGGCAGAAGGGAGTATAAGCCTAGTGCACTGGGTAGAAAAGGTTATGGGTCTCATGATTTAGTATATAAACTTTGATTTGATACTTTGGTACCCTTTACTGTTCTTGATCTCTGTCCACCTTCCAAGAGATACACCACAGTGGCTACATGAGATGTGGGAGGGAAACTAGAGGTCAGACTCTCTAAAACCAACTTTCAGAGAGCTCTTCTATTTTCAGTTCCACTTTTATCCCTAATTCCAGATACATTTGGTGCCACCAATTTGAGTTTTTTTGAGACAGTCTATTAACTAAATCATGTTGATTCTGTTTTCCACACTGGCTGATGATTCAGTTTTTCCAGGTTCTGAATTACATGTATTTTCTGTTTTCTAGGTTCCAAAATTTTGTTACTATCACATTTTTTCTTCTTGTCCTTGATAGCTATAAAATTCTTCTGAAAATTCCCTTTACTTTTGCATTTTAGTAGTTTTGAGAGGGAGCAAATGCGAATGTATTTGTTCAACCTGCTGTATTTAACTGGATGTATTTTTGTAATTCATATGTAACAATTCTTTTTTTTTTTTTTTAATTGGGAAGACTAACCCTTTGTCACGGGTTCTGATGTTTCTTTATTGTCCATCACATCCCTAATTTATTTATTTTTTCTGCTTGATAGATATAATTTATCATATGCAGTCAGGTTTTTCCCAATCATTGTCTTTATGATTTCTAGGTGTTTTTTTTTTTTTTTTTTTAAGAAAGTCTCTACATTGAAGTTAAACAGATAAGACATAAAATATCAGAAAGAATATCTTCAGAATTCTCATCATGCATTGGTTAAGAGTTTCCGATTATTTATATTAGCAAAAGACTGGTGTCATCTCAAATGTCCAATAACAAGAGGCTAGTTGATTAAATCATATTCACACAAAGGAGCACTTAACAGCTATTCAAAGGGAATGAGGAATTTTTTAATAAACTGCTGTGGAGTTACCTTTAGGACATATTGTTAAATGAAAAAATAAAACAGGAATGTTTATAGAATGTTACCTTTTATATAGTAGAAGAGAATATGAATAAAAATTATATTTTTTCAAAAGAGAATGATGAAAGGATAAAAATAATGAAAATAGTTTTAGGGGAAGGGAGAAAAATATGTGGATAGATAGTTATGGATATAGTACATCTTGTGTTATACTTTGATTGTACCTAGATTTGACTTTGGACTCATGTAGCTACTAGCTGTTTTACATACTAAATGTAAAACAAAGTTAAAGTAAAAAAAGTCAACAAAAAAATTCAGACAAATGGAAAGCAGTGAACTTAACTATCAAACAATAAAGTTAGTAATATACACATGCAGTGAAAAGAATTACTTCAAGTGACCTAATTAGGTTGAATATTTCTGGTGGGAGGTATTCTAAGGTAGAAAAAAAAAAAAAAAGAAAAAATCTTCATAGTAATCTTAAACTGCATTTAGTATATTTTGAAACTATTATGCACATATTCTAAGATATAGCATAAGGAGCTATGATTTCAACATAAGAGAAGAAATAAAAGTATAAAATTAAAAAATTTAAACTTGAATTTTAAATTCATAATAGAAATATAAATATGAGCTTATTACTTAGTTTTCTTTAAAAATGACACTTAGAACTTGCACCGAAAAGGCCTAGAAGTAATGGCAAGCCTTTGACAATGAGCTGACAACCAGATCGTTGTCTCTATCTTTTGCTCTAAGAGGCAGGGGTTCTTGAAAAAATAGCTGTTTCCTGGTTAGGCCAGTAAATGTGCAAGGTAATCCTGGAATATGTTACTATTCTAGGCAGTAAGAAAATTATTTAGGATTAATGGGATGGGGTAGTGTCAAAAGTACCTCTAAGCTACCAGAGTTTAAGATGGGCAATTTGAGGATCAAGAAAATAATGACTGCAGTGGATTGAAATATATAAGATATAAAAAACATGAGTTTAAATAGATACTAAAATATAGAAATTTTATAAAAAAGAACTTGTTACTCATGTGATTTTGAGGGTGCCAACTCATTACTTTGTAAATTGGTAAAGATTCAAGCATTGTTTTCAGCTTTTGCTGTACAGACTGTATTTTAATATTACTATTAAGTTACTGTGGAAAAAGTTCTTCATAGAAAAAATTAACTAATAAATACTAATTAAATAATATAATTAGAAAATCACCATTTGTAAACCCCTAATGAAATAGTAGATTTAGGAATTGATCATGAATTGATGCTAAAATCATTAGGTGGAGGTCTAATGAGGAGAGTTCAGGCTTGTACCATCTTACTAATTGATTTTTAGCATCACTAAAATTGGGACAACCAGATAAGTTCCTTATGATACAATGTAATAGGAGGCACACAACAGCAACCACCTAAGAAGATGTTTTGCCAAGAAAAAAAAGAAATTGAACTTAAATCTAATTAAGCCTCTAGATATAATTATTACTTAATAAGAAATATGGGGAACTAGAGGAACACTTTAAATGACACCGTGATGAAGCAATTATTTAAATAAAGAATGGACAGTAAAAATAACTGTATCTCCAACAAATCAATGGCATTGGGGAAAAAACAGAAGGGGCCTAAAACAGCCATAACAAGTTAATGCACTCTTTGGAACTTGTTTGAGTTCTGATTTGAACAAATCTATTGTAAAAAGACAACCTTAAGACAAGAATTTTGATATAGGGTGACTATCAGATAATATTAAGAACTTGTAATTTTGTTAGGTGGGGTATTGGCATGTAAAATAGAAACCTTGATCAGAATTGTACACTGGGTAAAATAACATGATGTCTGGGATTTATCATATAATCTCCAGCAATGTTGAGGAGGGGGGTGATCAGGGAACAGATAAAACAAGATTGGATAACGGTTGAAGATGGTTGAGGTGTACATGGAAAGTCAGTACCTTGTTCCATATACTGCCTACTGTTTTTATGAAGGCGTTGTTTTCTTAATCCAACAACCTAATTAATAGTATGCTACTCTGGAGCCAGACAGCCTGGTTTTGTTGAGTCCCGGCTCCACCTCTTATTAGCCCTGTGATATTGTTCAAGTTACTTAATCTATGTAAGTCTTAATTATATTTCCTTACCTGTAAAAATTGAAAAATAATTAACCTACTTTATAGAGTTATTGTAAGGATTAAATGAGTTAATACATTTAAAATACTTAGAACAGAGCTTGGCACATGATAAACATTTACTGTGTTCTTTATCTATTACTATCATTACTATTAAAGTGTCCCAGCTTTTGAGATAGGGGGAACCACATACCGTTAATATACTGGGGAAGGTATAACCAATACTAGGAACAGAGAATTTGGGATTAAGCAAAGTTGCATATGGCCCTGGACCCATTGGGTCTACAACCTTTAACTGTTTAAGTTTTGTTGCTCTTTCTATCTTTATATTCTTTTCTTTCTTCTACTGATAGTGCTCTCATTATTAGCCATCTGCACATGGGAGGGAATCAGCATATTGACCTGTCAGAGAAAAGCTAGAGAAGGACTAAAAGTAAGACAAACAAATGAGTTCGTGATAAGGCTAGATTTTTGGTAGTGTTTTTTAAGTCATGATTTATAACCTCGGAATCACCTTTAGGTATCACCCTTTAGTTCTACAGGTGCTCATATAATTGCTCAGTTTTCAAAAAAACTTCTTGATGAAGATATTTCTATTTTTTCTGGATCGGAAATGTTGCCTCTGGTTAAAGGAGCTTTTATTTCTGCGTGTCGTCAAATATATGGTACATGTGAAGGCTTGCAGGTGTTAATTCCTTACAGTTTGCATGAATCTATAGCAAAGGCATGGAAGAAGGTAAGTATTTTCAAGATTTTTCTTTTTCTCTCTGCAAATCTTTATTTCAAATATAATCACTATTATAGTGTCATACCGCAGTTAAAATATTTTACTAGGGGCAAATATGATTTATTTAGCATCACAGTACTCTAGGATACATAATACTTTTAATTTGGTAGAGGATGACTTTAGGACCTCCCCTCCTACTGGGACACAGTTCTAGGACCTAGCTGGGTACTACAGTCTTCTAGCAGGACAGGCTTTAGACAGATTATCTTTGCATAGCATGACATTCCTCTTTGAAAGTTATTTCTGAGCATTTTTTTTTTTAAATTTATTAGTTTCAAGTATACAGTACATCGGTTAGACATCTATATTGGTAGTAAAATGATCCCCTCAGTTGCTCCCTCCCTCTCCTGACCCTCAACCTTGCCAATGTATTAATGCTAATTGCATTCCTTACGCCATGCTTCCCATCCCCATGACCATTCGTCAGCTACTAATTTGTACTTCTTTAACCCTTCACCCCATTCTCCCAGCCCTTTAAACCACCCTCTCCTCTGTCCATCACCAAATTGTCCACTATATTCGTGAGTCTGTTTTAGTTTGTTCTTTTTATTCCTTAAATTCCACACATAAGTGAAGTTGTATAATGTTTATCTTTCTCTGTCTGACTTAAATACCTTCTAGATTCATCACAGCAATATCTTTTTCCATCCCCTTCCTTTTCATATGTAGGGGTCTTGTTTTCTTATCCTTATAGCCACTCCATCTGAGCATTTTTTAGACAGCTGGATTTTTTATTATGGTCTCTGGAGATCACAATGTGGCAATAGTCAAATATATATCAATGGACCGTCTTTTTCCTCGATATATGCTTTATTTGTGAAATACTATATATTATATTTAAGAACCAAATTTAAATTTTGAAGAAAATTTAAATTACACGAAGGATCAAATATGAAAATGTAGCATGAGGTCTTATGAGTAATGCTACTAGTAAAAAAAAAAAAACTGTAAATTAATCTGTTATATTCTAGACAAGTTTGCTATCAGAAAGAATTCCTACTCCAGTAGAAGGTTTGGATTCTGTTTCTTCAGTAAGCCAGGAATCCCAAAACATGTAAGTACAATTGATTAAATTCATCTGTTTTTTTTTTTAAACGTTTCCCAAAATAATTTAAAAACAAGAATATAATAGAATACTATATCAAAGACATTTTGCAGGAAGATAAATGTATACATGTAGGATCATGGAAAATTATATCCAGGAGGAACTTCAGAGATTATATAATATTCGTGCCTTTAAAATATATCTAGCAATATTTATTATTCTTGCTTTATCCTGTATTTACAGTTTGGGTTAGAAATTTGACATGTAGTAGTGTTTCCAAAAAATTTGGAGAATTACCAAATACTAAAATTGGAAAGCTAACTAGGGAGTTTAGTAGAAAGTGTTTTCAAATGCCAAAGAAGTTCATTTATATTTAAACTTTGATTTTTCAAAATATGTGAACATTCATTTTAATTAGATTTTGGTATAGAAAAATTATTTAAATCCATATTTATACCAATTTTTAATTTAAATGTCTCCATGTTTCTTCACAGATATCATTAGGATGTGGGATCAGATTAATGGGGAAAATATATATTTTTTAAACTTAAGACGAGGTGACACATGTTTCTGGATTCTCTTCTTTCTTGAGTGCTGGCATAGACTAAATAGATAATAATTAGAAGACTCTTAAAGGATATTCTTAAGAGAAATCCAAAAACTAATATTTCTTTTTAGATAAGCATAGTTTAGCTAAAAGAAAAAGAACCAAGCAAAACACCTTTTGCATTTCCTTAACAGTGCAATAGTTCAACAAATAATTATAGCTAATTTTTAGAGAATTAACTTTTTTCTTATCTACTTGTCATAAACTTAAATCAACTGCCACTTTTTCTTTCTTTCTTTTTTTTTTTTTTTACTCACAAGGGAGTGAGTAAAAAACATTTCTACAATTCACTTTTGAGATAATTTTTAGATTTGTTTTGGAAGTCTATAATTTGTCATTTTTTGTTTTCATTCATGCATTCATTTTGTACCCATTCATTCAGCTATTTATTGGACCAAGTTCTTTGCTGAGTTCTGAGGATACCTATATACTTCAGAAAGCTTATTGTGTAGTGTAGAATACAAATAAATTAATATAACGTGGTGATATAGTATGCTAAATTTATATGATAGAGGTCATGCAGGGTCCATTGGGAGTGAATTTGGGGAAATCTTCCCAGAAGTTGTTGTTAAACTAGGTGAAAAAGAATACTTTGATATTAGTGGTTTAAAAAGGGGAGAACATTATTCTAAGTAGAAGAAATAGTGTGGTCAATAGGCTATAAGAAAAAGGGAACATGATTAATGTACTTAACACATTTTACTGTCAGTAATATTTTAAAATTTTCGATGGTAGAGTCTGAAGGAGCTAATAAATTATACTCCACTCCTTTCCTCCTGAGTTTTGAACCAATTAACAGAGATAAAAAAAAGTCAAGCAAATCAAAACACTGAATAACATAAGTTTCCTAAGACTGAACTCAAGAATTTGATTTACTCATTTCTATCACAATCAATAGTGGAAAGCTATAGGAGTCCCTCTAAGGCAGAGCTTACAAAGATCACAGTTAATTACATAGTAGAACAGAGCATAATGTGTGCTTCCTACAGGAAGCTGGATCACAGAGAGGAAGTGGACTTGGGGAGAGGCATTGCTCAGGTCATCCTCCAAATCTCCTGTGTCTTTTCTTCTTCCACAGGGAGGAGCAAGTGATTAGGTGGAAAGATGCAAGCAGTATTAAAATGGGAACTGTACTAGATGGGGAAACTAGGTGGGGAAAAGGAGATTCCCCCAACATCTGATATTAATGTCTTTGAAACAAAAGATTTAATGAGTTTTTGGTAATAGTCAAAACTGTTGATTTCAATGTTGTCATCAAAATTAAATTACCTCATAGAAAGAATCAAGTATCTTTTGCTCTTTTGAGTTAATTGAAAAGTTGGTATGAGATGGGCATTATACGTTTCTTTGTAGTTTGGTAAAACTTGAGAGTAAAACCATCTGGGCCAATTAACTAGACTAAGTCTGATGCCAACACATAGTACTCTTCTCCTCCCTTCCCCTCACCACTCTCTCTGTTAAATGGTAGTTTCTCTGAGTATAAAAGTTTTGATAGACAATTGTTTTTCATCAGTATTTGAAACTATTACCCCACTGTTCTCTAGAATAAGTAGTAACTGATAAATCTGTCAGTATAGTTGCCTTTATTTATAGGTCATATCTTTTCTCTCTCATAGCTTTTAATTTCTTTTTTTTTGGATGTTTGCTATTTCTTTATGATTTAAATTTATCCTCCTTGGTACCCTAGACACTCTTTTATTCTATAGCCTGGACTGGTGTCTTTCCTTAAATCTAGAAAATCTTCTAGATTTTGAAAATTATTTTCTTTTCAAATACTTTTTTCATTTTCTTTTCTTGGAGCTTTTATTAGATATATATTGAGATCTTTCAGTCTATGCTCTATGTCTCATCTACCTATCAATGTTTTTTCAAATGTTTCTTATCTACCTATCATTCAATTCTTTCCTTGCCCTGACCTAGACTTTATCCTATCTGCTTTCTACATGGCTATATTTTTAAATTTTCAAGTTCTCTAATAGTTATTTTTTTTTAAATCTGTTTTTATTTCATCTCTGCTTTTTGTTTCACAGTTGTAATGGAATTTTTAAAATATGCTTTGATCATCATATTAATAAAATTATTTTGAAGTCATTATTTCTGAAAATTACTTCAGCTGGAATAATTTCATTTGATGAATATTGATTTTTCTGGTTCTTAGCTTTAGATATCTTTTAAAGTTTAATTGCAAATCCATTTTTAAGTGAGAGTTTTTTCCTTCCCTAATTCCCTCCCTCCTTCCTTATTTATCTCAATTTCTATTACTGTGTTCATTTTCCCTGTTCAGCATTTATACGGTTTTTCTCTTTTACCCCTATGTTTTAAATAAACATGGCATTGTATTGGCATTGAGGCTCCTGTCAGTGATAATGGAGATATTGCAGATATAATTAAAGAATTGGAAGATGAAATGATCATCTGTTCATTTCCAGAAATAAGGGTTTATCTGTATTCTTCTGTCACCCTAGGCTTATGGCTTATCAGCAGTCCCAGTTTTATACATATATGTATATTTTGTTCATTATATATAATATTTTCTTTATATAAATTAATTATATATCTTAATTTCAATTAAATATATATTTGCTAGTCTATGCAGTCTTGAGCCTAGCACTGGTCTTGTGTCTCATATGTAACCCTTTTAGCTTTATAGTCTCTTGGAGCCAAATTTGGCTTCCATTGCCTATATTGCTTCAAAACTGGTCTAACTTCTTTGTGCTTCTGTTCTCTTTGTCCAAGGTGATATTTATGTTGTATTTGAACATGGTCGTATCTTTGACAATTGCAGAGGGATATATGTCAAAATAATTTTTTTTTTTTTTTAATCAGAAAAGACCTGGATTTCAAATTTCTCGTAAATTCAGTTCCAGAATAGATTTCTGAAATTTCCTTGGGGGGCTGAGGGAGGCACACTTTTTACAAGCTCAGTTCCACTGTACATATAAACATTTGATTTTGACATATTTTAATCTCACAGTTTTTTTCCAGACAACTAGGAATATCCTGTATATAGTACATTTTCTCTTGCTTCTGGTACTTCTGAATGAAGTGCTCATATCCCTTTCTGTGCTTCCACATTTTTAGCTCTGACTCTTCTATAAACTGTGTACATCT